ATCCAAGTTAATTATTAATATTATTACCAGGCCTACCGAATAATTGATTGTGGTGGCAATTAATTCCAATATTTCGAACTCAATTAATTGATTGATGGCGCAGTCATAATTGGTCAATTAATTGCAATTTTACGTAATTGGATTACATATATATCCGCCATTAATCACAGCAAATAAATGCGATTTTGGATTTTTCGCTATTTAAAAATCGGATTACATCAGACATTGCTTTACACAAAAAATTGAATTTAATTGCAATTAATTGCAATTATTTCGTCATTAATTGGGTTTCAATTAATTTTATGATAGTTTTAATTGATTTTAATTGTATGACGTATGATAAAAATTAATTGAAATTGATTTTTCAGTAGGCCTGATTATTACAGTGTAGTAACTATTATAATTACGGGATTAAAAAACCTTTGTAAAAATATAAGTTGTAAATATAATTGCTATATAAGTTATATTCTAACTGCATCAATATCTTAATAGTATTAATACTTACGTTAAAATTTGTTATTTGCTCTAAAATTTAAGAATTTTTGTAACAACTTAAAAGCACCTTCTGCGCCACAGCCTACTAAAGTAGCTTGACAACTGTTGTTTGTTTTTTTCAGTTTTAATTTTTTTTAAATTTGAAATATATTTAATATGGGGGTCTTGTTTGTTGTGAGATTTTATAGTCTTTTTGCTAAGACCAATTTAATTTTGTAAAATGAAAATGTTTTTTCAAAAAAAAGTTTTTTAAAAATTATTAATTTTCTTTCTCGTGATTATAGTGATTTGAGCAATCAGGTCTATGTATAATGAAACAGATAATAGTAAAGTACAATAACAAACTAACAAGCATCCCAGCTAATAAGATTCCAGTCTCAAATGTAGCTATCAAAATCATGTGAAGTGTTTATAGAAAGAAATATTATAAATTTACTGTACCATAATACGGCATTCTATATGATACAAACCTTAAGAAGTCATTAAATTTATGCCTACACTATCGCTACTACTATCTGTATTTCTCATTAGCAGTCTCACAGAATTTCTTATATAGAAATTCATTAAACTTTCTTTTAGTTATCAGTTATGATTCAGTATCGTACAAGTAGAGATGTGATCCGTAAACTATTAGTTAATATAAATAAACTGTAGTTTATTGTAAAACTGTTGACCCCACATAATTTTTTTGAAAAACAAATAAAAGAATTCAATAACAAAATCGAACATATACAAAATAAATAATTGTTATTCTTCTGTTTCTATATATGATTCAAAATTTATCTTGTAAGTACAAAAATAATCTTTATATCTCTCTAATTGATACTTTAAAACACATTTTATGTTTCTAACATGACAAAGATCAATTATTTCTCTCTCACTGTCTTTCTGTTTTTCTATGTTGTATTTCTCTGATCTTACTATTTCTATATATCTTAAATATTTAGCTTTTTTAATAAATTTTCTTAAATTTAGAAGTAGATCAAGCTCAACATTAAAAGGTAGTATAAAAACTTCTAACTTCACCCTTTCTATATCAAAATCTTGTAAAAACCAATTTAAATTTTCATAACTATAATCATAAATATTAAGCAAGCTAAGAATTTTTAAAGAGCTAGGCAAATATCTGATTAAGGTTTGTAGATAATCTTGACTACTATCCCTTAGATTGTCACACAGGCAAATTTGCCTGCGAAAATTTTAAAGTTAATTTTCTGTATTATAGTAATACTAAATTTATACTGATTTATAAATTAAATATAATAACAGGTTTTTAAGTTTGTGTAACTTAAAAATATGAGATTGTTGCGCAGGCAAATTTGCCTGCGAACTTTTTTAAGAAAATTCGATTAACAAGAACCAATCAAATTAAATAAAATCACATGATTAAATAAATTTAAATAATAGATTATCGTAAATATAGTTATCTAAAATGAATAAAACTTTACAAACTGAAGAAGAATTTTATCTTTGTTCTTTTAGTCGTAAACAAGATATTGATGAAATTGATAATTTAGATTATCCAATAGTAGTTATTTAAGAAAATTCACAATTAATAAATGAAAAAAATAAAAAAAATAATAATAAATCTAATGAAATATATAAAAAATTAGATGATTTTTTACCTTTGCAACACAAATATCCTTTACATGAAGCTTTCCCTATTCTTCTTAAGGAATTTACTCTAATTCAAAAATCTGCACCATATTCAATTTTTAGTTTATTTTTTTCAGAACATCAGTTGCAAACTATTGTAACGAATACCAATATATATGCTGCTGTTCATAATGCAAAGCATGGTACAAATCAAGCAGGTGAAGGTCGAAATTGGACTAATTTAACTCTTAATGAATTTAAAATCTGGTTAGTGCTTGTAATATATATGGGAGTATTTAAATTTCTGGCAATTACTGATTATTGGAAAAAAGATAGTAATTATCCATCTCATAATATTACTAAAACTATGTCATTATTCCGATTTCAACAAGTAAAATAAGTCTTTTTTTTTTTGTTTGTTTTTTTTTTTAAAAAAAAATTTGACATATATTTAAATTTTTAGATCAAACGTTTTTTACATCTTTCTGATTGTACCAAATTATCATCGAATTGGTTTGGAAAAGTAGAACCACTTGCATCACACATTAAAAATATATCAAAACAACTTTATTTGCCTGCATCAAACCTGTCATTAGACGAAATGATCGCAAGATTTTCCGGACGCAGTGCACATACATTTCGCATAAAAAATAAACCCACACCTGAAGGATATAAGATATTATCTTTATGTGATTCAGGTTATACTTATACTTTTATGTTCTTGTCTCGTATTATGCCATCTAGTATAGAATTAATTCCAAATCTCAACAAAACTGGTTCCGAAGTATATCATCTAGTTAAACAATTACCACAAGGACATGCTTTTAATATTTACATGGACAACTTTTTTTCAAGTATAAATTTATATCAATTTCTTCGTGAAAAAGGATTTGGAGCCTGTGGAACTGTAAGAACAAATACTACAAGGTTTCCTGTAATTTTAAAACAAGAAAAAGAAAAAAAAAATTTGGAATGGGATCACTTGATAGGAGTAGTAGTCGATGACGTATTAAGCTTTTTATGGATTGGCAACGGTCCTGTTACGATGCTTACAACCATACACAAAATTGATGGTCAAGAAAGTAAAATTAAAAGAAATCGTAGAAAGCCACGTGAAACCAGTACAAACTATAAAAATATTAGATCAGTATTTGGTGATGAAGTTCGAAAAGTTATACCTATTCCAGTTGCAGTTGATGATCATAATCACTATATGGGAGGAGTAGATATTGCGGACCAATTAAGAAGTTATTATTCAACTCAATTGGCCGTTTTTAGAGCATGGGTACCTTTATTCTTCTGGTTACTAGACACTGCTATTATAAATTCATATTTAATTTGTAAAAAATTAAATATAGCAGAAGAACATAAAGCATTTAGGCTTGCATTAATACGAGATTTAATTAAAGACTCTTTAAACCCTCTAAAAAGAACAACCCGAAGTGAAGACAATAATGTACAAATAATTGAAAAAGATAACACCAATGTCAACAAAAAGTTTCGTGTTTCTGCAAACTTTGAATTGCCACTATGTAGATTAGTTGGTAATAGTCATTATCCTGAATACAGAGAAAGTGATAGAGGTGCATGTTTGTGGTGTAGATATCTTTTCAAAAAAAATAATGAAACATATCAACAAAATCCTCCACAATCGCAAATTTGGTGTAGCGAATGTAGTGTACCGTTGTGTTGCAACAAAACTCGGCCAAATTGCTTTAAGGATTTTCATACCAGTTCAGAGTAATATGCTGAATCACATGTTCGTTGGATATTGCTACGAAAAGGGAATCGGAGTCGAAAAGGACGTAAAGAAGGCATTTGAATATTATAAAAACTCTGCAGAAATGGGTAATAATCAAGGAATAATTAATGTTGGATATTGCTACAATGAAGGATTCGGAGTCGGAAAAGACATAAAGAAGGCGTTCGAATATTATTCACAGTTTCAAAAAATTTACCTTGTTAATAATTTCTTGAAAGATCTGGGCACACAATAAAAAGAAGAAAAAATGCATCGTATTAGCAGTACATATCAGAATTACTACTTCAAATAATCGTATGATATACTTTTATATTTTGATGTTTTTTTTTTTTTTTTTGAAATATGAGTTTAAAATTTTACATCAGATAAATAACGATCCCATAATTTACATTATATTTTTAGGTAAAAAAATTTTCTTAAATAAAAAGACCTATATGTTCTTCAGTAGTACATATACCCAAATTTTGATTAGTGATACTCGGAATTGACAACTTAAAATAGCCCGGTCATAAAAAAAATAATCACTATTCTATTTTCAAACATCCTAAGAGCGATTTATAAGACTTTGTTGTAAACAGTATGAGAATTTTTGAATAAATAGGATCATCTGAATGTTTTTTTTTCATTCCCCAAGTGTTATTTACAATGGGAATGAACGTCATTTTTGAATTGAACCTATCATTTGCTTTCTAACTATTTTAAGCAAAGCCGGCTCTGACTGCCTTTGATTATTTATGAATTTACATCATTATCAATATGCAATTTATTGTTAGTATATACCGGTAATTATAAAGAAGTAATTACATAGTGCAAAGGCATAATGTGAAATTTACCACCTTCATGCTGTATTTATTTCGCATATTGTTGACCCAGAAAGCACCTCAATAGTTGCGGAGCCAGGATTACACCATTTTTATTCTTCTCTTGTAGAGATCACTATAATCACCCGAATATGTTCAAAAGTTATTAATGTATTGATTATCAATAAGTAAGAGCAAAGAGGTGTGAAGTCACATACCCTAGATTACATGAAGGCTAATTCGTGATATATAAAAAAAAAAAAATTTTTTTTTAAAAAAAAACGATAATTACTCACAGGTAGTTCCACTAATTGACCAACTCGACGTCGCTAATACCTCCATCATTGCTATGAAAGTTGCTGAACTAAGAAAGGTAAAATATAATAGGAATCCGGAATGGCCACCACGTTCAAAGCCTGGTACAGGGAACTCTGCCTTTTTTTTTTTTTTTTTTTTACAGCAACGAAAGGGCTGATCATCCCGGTGTTCGTAAAGCAATAAGGGTAAAAAAAAAATATATATATATATGCGCATCGCAAATGTTGTAAAAATTATTGTACGCCACCATAGTAAGCCTGTATAAATATGAACAGCCTCAAGAAGTGCTTCCACAGTGCCAACGGTGGCATTATATATTAAACCCATCGCTTTTAAGCCAAGCGAAGGTTTGAGAGATAAGTAGTACTAATGGCACATATGTTTCTTTTGAGTCTTGGGATTACATATTACATTTTTTAAAATTAATATATTTTTACCAATTTCAAAAGTGTCATTTAGAATGAATTTACATATGACTTACGGGTTTATTCGAAGGTGTGCGAAAAATTAAAAAGGTAGGTTTGAAGAAGGGCTTTTTATTTGTCAGATCATTTTCTGTGATTATACGGCCTAATATTCCCGGCAGTGATAGTTTATGAGCAGCGTGCCATTGGCCTTGTAAATGTTTAGCATACTCGATTAAATAATACTCGATTCGGATCCAGTTTATTACTAAAATCCACAATTATACTCCAGATGACATGAATGCGTTTATCTTTTTTGATATATGCATCCATGTATATAGCTAATAACGACAGATATTAAACCATATTGAATGATTTTTAGTGTTGTAACGTCACTTATCTCATTCATTAGGTTGTTACCTTTCATAATTGTATCGTCATAGCCATATTAATCTTACCTTAATAGTATTAGGCATTATGTATTCTTGATGGCTTAATCATATGTAAGTTACTCAAGTCACGTATACACGACAGTGGGAGCGTAGACATAACTGATGGAGCGCAAACGTTACTGATGGAGCGTAAACTTGACGTTCACGCTATGGGAAATTAGAATGCATTTAAAAGGATGCTCTCGCCCTTCGTTCATCATCCAAATGCTCTTCAAAGTTGTCTTTAAATAAAGAATGCATAAATCTACACTCGTTTATATAATAAATGCCTAATAATCAGAAAATACGAGTTCCCTAATTTATCACCAGGTTCCTGCATCTTCTTTTATGTCAACCATTAGAGTTAAATTTGGCATGATTGACGGAAACTTTCCTATATGATGGTTACAGTGTGAATATGCAGCATACATCAGTATGATTCTAATGGACTGCGCGTAGGTAGAAAATTCGGGTGCAAATCTCGCCTCTTGTGGATTATGGGCGCTTGTTAACTGTAGCGCGCCTGTTATACTTGGAACTAACAATGCGATTATTATCGTTATAGAAATTAGTTTGAGTTTTCAAATAAAGCAGTTAAATTATGCTTATTTATTTTATCTTATTTTAGCTAGTTCATTTATCAATTTATTTACTTACTATATATATACTAAAATTTTTAATATTTATATACGTACCAAATCTAAATTGATTTCACTAAGTTTATATTAATATTATAATATCGATATATCGCAAGAATAAGTTGTATCAATATATACGCACTGAACGACAATGAAATTAAATTAAAAAGGCGAAAGGAATCGCAAATTTGAATATATAACAAACATTAATAATAAGCTTATTAGCAATATGTATTTTTATTTTTTATTTTTTTTATTTTTCGGTATTCTATTCAAAAATATTTATGAAAATTTTTATTAAGTTATTCAAAGCAAGTATGTTCTCTTTTACTTACATATATATATACATTGATAGAGGCTACATTACTTACTATTACTACATTTCTTATGCATTTTTTTTAATTTGATACTATATGGTGTTACGCTTCCCTAATTCTTACTTTACGATTACAACCCATTACCTTATATACTGTGCCCTATTCTAACTGCGGTCATAATTCATATTTGTCACAATTATATTTATATGATTCATAATTGTTTGGTTACATTGTAGTTTAAGCAAGTCAGTTATAATAATAGGATAATTTAACAAAAAAAAAAAAGTAAAAAACGGTGGTAGTATTATCAGGAAATTTATAATGCTATAGAGGTGATAATATAAGGAAAGTTGATACTATTGAAAAAGTTATCAGTAAGGAAATAATTTGTCGAGGTCAATGAAAATGTTATGAAGTAGAACTTGGCATTTTATATAATATTTAACAATCAGATCACTAAAATATACAGAGAATTAATAATGCATTGAGCTTAATCAACACATATCTTTATTTATAACATATATATATCTTTTCATAGTCATTAATAATATCGGATAAAGCACTTTTGATTGCCCATAAAGCCTGAATAAATGATTTAAATTCTTCTATCACCACTTCCTTATATGGAATATCTAAAATACTTCTCTCACGCGTGGTAATTCTGTAATAATAAAGGATGATAAAGGATAATAAAGACAATGGCGATTAATGAATAAATTTTAATAAGTAATATATTGAATGTTAGAATGTTAGTGTTATTTAACTTAAATACGTATCCATTTTAGTAATTTTAGTGGGTGTTTAATAACGATAATTGAGGGTTGAATCTGCAAATCGAATAAGGTATGCTGATTATATTCAGAATCACGTGTAAAAACGAGATTGCATGTAAATGCTTATCGATATGTTCAAAAAAGTGGTAAAATCATATAATTATACACTTAGACAATTTAGTTCTAAATAACGTGCAACCAATCATATTTTTTTAATTGATGAAGCATCAAACATTAATTCTGGTTCGTTTTGAGGTTTCTATCCAGATGGATGTTAAAATCAAAAAAAAAGAAACATCCTTTCATTTGGGGCTGGCACAACTTTCAAATGATTGTGTGATCATATCTTGGTTATTAAACCGATCTTAGATAAACTGAAGGTTAATAATATTAATTTTGATCGACCTTTAGTTTCCAGGAGATGTTATAGAAGATCGTTATTACACTTTTGTAATCCGTTTTATTTGAATTCCACTTTTAAAACTACCATTGTTTGAGTCTCTTGGTAAAGATGAACAAATTATTAAGACAAGAAATATTATTAATATGGTTTTATTCAGTTATGTTTGTTTAATTTTTACAATTAGTTTTATAGCGATTTCATCGTTTTCGACGGCTTCTCTCATGTAAATTTAAGATTTATATCTATTTCGGTTTGTATTTCATGATAATATCCTTCTAAAACATAAATTGTCATCCAAAATTTAGCAGTATGTTTATGTGTATCATGCGATTTTTTGCTTGAATAATGGTTTGTCCTGAATTTACAAGTATAAATATCAGAAAAAATAGTCCAAGCCTTCTCGTATTCTTTTTTATTATGGTGTCTTTTTGCAATTTGAAGTCGTAAGTTATCAGCTTTTTCCTCATCACATATTTCATAAGCACTTTTTACGTCTAATTCGACGTGAAACCCATTTAGAAGGTATTTTGCCATATAGATTTGTGGTCCACCTGTGTATCCTTTTTTATGAAGGTTTTCAAAAATATCCCATGCTTTCTTATATTCTTTATTCGCGTCATGATATATTGCCTTTTTGATTTGAGTTTCAAAAAAATATTTACTATCTTCAGTAGCTTTATTTTCATTCTCTCTTTAATTTCATTATTTTTAAAATATAAAAAATGATTTCTAATATTTATATTTAAATAAGCACAAATGCATTGTAGAAAGAATTAATTTTTGTTGGCCCAATTTAATTTTTAATAAAATACATCGATTTGACAACTAAATTGTTGTTTATCTAGTATCTGAGTTTTATTTTACTGTATATTTATTTATATGTTGTTAGAATTGATTTAACATCCTAAGGTTTAAATAGAGCAGTTTAAGATAAGCAGATTTATTAAATTGATCACTCGAATTGTTTTAGATTCCATGATTACTGGCATGTTCTTCGCTAGATATTATTTTTTGCTTTTTTATCAATTGTTAATTTTATTTAATTGGATAATTAAAAAAAAAATAAAAAAATAAAAAAAAAACAAAAAAAAAATAAAAAATAAAAAAATAATTAAATTTGTTTACACATTTTTATCCTAAAAATTTTCTTGGAACTGTGAAAAGATGTGATAATACTTTTGCTTAAGAATCTATTATCTAGCGCTAAGCATTCAACTTTTAGTACATGGGGCATTATTAAAATGTTTTAGTATTGTCTAGAAATGTAGTAAATTTGAATACAATTAAATGTAGTTTATTCATTAATTATTTCAATTGTAAAAATCCGGATAAATCAATCCTTATTAAACTAATATTAAACTTATACAAAGTACCCCCTATTATAGTACCCTCCCCCATGATTAGTACCGGGAGGGTACTATTCAAGAAATTTGATGATTGATTGAATAGTACCCAGGGTACTTTAGTCAGTGTTGTACAGTAATTGAAATTACAGGTCGTTTATCATCACGTGGCCATAGTCGATCACCATTCAAGATAGAAATTCAATGAACTTGATAATCATGGTTACGATCAAGTGGAATGTCATACTATCAGCTTAAAAAATGGAATCAGAATATTTTGAGTACACAACTTTTTATAATGTAAATATTCTAGACTGGCTTATCTCTCAAAAGAATTTTCCTGGAAACCACCATTCACCTCAAGATGCTATTAATGCCTTTAAAAAAGATATTTCATCCTTTTACAAGAATGAACATGAGAAGAAAACGTTTATAATCAGTAAATTACAGGTCAGCATTTTTTAAATTATTTTAATCGTTTCTATATAGAAGATGATAAATTTTATCTTTAAGTAGTGACAAAGTATTGTCCGGAGCCTCACAGCTCTACAACTAAGCTTCCCTTTTGCATTTGAAACAATTATATTGTCCTGAACCCCGCGGCATTGCCAACCAAACTATCCTTTTGTACTTTACGTACTTTAGATAGAGTATGGTCCAGAGTCTTACAGCTCTATCAACCGAACTGTTTTTTTTTGTACCTCAGTTCTTTTTTCTTTATATATTATAGTTCAGAGCCTTACAGCTCTACCTACTGAATTTCCCTTTTGTGCCTCGGTTCTTTTTACCTTATATATTATGGTTCAGAGCCTTACAGCTCTACCTTTTGTATCTCAGTTTG